AAACATTTTATATTCAATAATTATTTATTAAAATATTATTTATTTTTATTATATTTAAATTTTAGTATTAAATCTAAATAAAATATTTGTAATAGTTAGAACTTTTAAACTTCATTCTCTAAACCTATAAAAGACTAAAAAACTAAAATCTCCAAGCCCCAAAAGTTAGTGTTTTAGCTTATGATGTTTCTAATTCGAATTCATGGAAACTCTCACTCACGTTACTCATTTAAATCAAGTCAAACTAATATTTAGTTTAGGTATATCTATATCATTTTTAATTATAACTTCATTTGGTTTTGATATATACTTGAGATACTTATCTAATATTTGTTTTCTTATCACAAATTTTAAGTTGATTTTTCATCATATTTTCTAATTTTAAAAATTCTAAAAGAGGGAGAGGCACCAAAATTAATAAAACATAAATATCATGCCATGCTATTGTCAAAACTTAGGGCCAAATTCTGCTTCAATTGATGCCAACCCTAAATTCAAGGAAAAGAAGAAAGAAGCAGACAACCTAAAAAAACAAGTAGAGGAATTGCAGGAAGAGGTTAGCATACTTCAGGTTGAACTGGCAAAGAGGGATGAGATTATTTCCAAGGATGTATTGAAGCTGAACCTGGCTGCTGTATCCCTTGGTTGGAATTTAATGAAGAAGTTGCTAGAGTCCATAAACCAGACTACCAACCAATGTCCGATAGCGAGTAGGATCAAAAAGTGGAGAGCCATCCATAGGTGTAAGCTTGACATTAGGTTCAAGAGGTGTAGAAACACTGTTACCATCATTGAGTTCAGCTTTAGAAACAAGATCAGAGGCATACTTTACTTGAGAAAACAGGTAGCCATCATCTGAAGAGGTCACTTCAAGCCCTAAAAAATAGATCAGAACACCTAGATCTTTCATCTCAAATTTCTGACTGAGAGATTGTTTTAACTCCTCAAAACCTGCGACATCATTCAAAACCTGCGACATCATAAATAAGTAATAATCATATCATCAACATAAAGAAATAAAAGAACCATACCTCGAGTAGTCTTTGTTGACTCAATGTACTTCAAGAGGGGGGTGAATTGGAGTTCCAAAAATTCTCCCCTTTTTCAACCACAAAACTCAAGTTAAAAAGAGTAAAGAAGAAGAGCTTGCACAATGAATTTATAGAGGTTCGGTCCAACCACTTGGAGCCTAGTCCTCTACCTTGGCTTCACTCACCAAGGATTTCCTCCACACTCTTCACTAAGAAAGACAAGGGTGGCTTAAAGGAGCCACTCAATCCTTTTACAATAAGATGAGTATTTCTCTCAAACCTCACCCCTTTATAATGTAAACCCCACAAATCCTCTCAATAGATCACTCTTGAAGGAATCAAAACACCCCCAAGATCACTCACTAATAGTACAAGAAGAGGATTATAAGCAATGATCACTCAAAGATAAAAAAACTCAAGTTAAAGCTCAAATAGGTAGGTAAGGATATTCAATGCAATGTTCTCTAACCCTCTTCAGATCTGTTACCAACCATATTTATAGCCCCTTTCTCGAAAATAGCCATTTCTAGCCGTTGGGAGTCATTAAATGCTCTGTAGGACACAAAGCTCGAGCTGCAGGATTGTCAGGAGAGCCGGCTTAACTTCCTAGAGCCGACTTATACTTCCAGAGTCGGCTATCCAGGTTTGCAGCCCATTCTGTTTTCCTCGAGAGCCGACTGCAAAACTTTAAGCCAGCTTTGGAACTCCGACTTTAAATACATTAAATATTCTTCAAAAGAGTCAACCGTTGTACATTAAATGCGAACTCATAGCTGGCTACAAAGTTAGAGCTGGCTCTGCATCTTTTCACGCGCGCCAAACAACGGACCTTTAAATCTTTACCTGTAGAGCCGGCTGCAGCTTCCAGAGCCAGCTCTGTGCACTTCCATTTCACCAGAGCCGGCTGCAGCTTTTAAGAGCCGGCTCTCTGCATATTTTGAATCCTTTTGGTCTATTTTTAGTGCAATCCAAGTTTACTTGCAATCTTTTAGCAACTTAACTACACACTTAAATAAACCAATTAGTCACTCAAATGTGTTTTGTAATTATCAAAATCATAGGTACAACAATCTCCCCCTTTTTGATGATGATAAAACACTTTGAGAATTAATTAATGAAAGCACATATATACTTCAATATTAACCAGAATTTCAGCACAAGTACTCTAGAAAATGACATTAAATTCAACATATTCTCTCCCCCTTTTTGTCATTCATCAACAAGTATATAAACATAAGCAATAAACTCCCCCTTAATTCATGCTATCAACCTTTAAAGCATCAAGAATATGTAATGAATATAATCATCAATCATCATCAATATAGCACCATAGACAACTAAAGTCATGAATACAATCATCAACCAATAAACTCCCCCTTAATAAGAGCATAGTATCATCAAAATCATAAACAACTATTCACAAAGCATGATAACACAAGTGATGCCATTTCCATTCATAAAACAAGATAAAAAGGTTTAAGACATATCCATAGTCAAATAAAACATAAAATGCATAACCCTAAGATGTCCATCCTAAAGATTAGCCAAACTAAAGAAATATCAAGTCAGGTGGCATCAGGTGGGGGTGGAGGAAAAAAATGGTTAACAAGCTGATCAAGCTTTCCTTCCATGTTAGTCATTCTCCCTCCCATTTCTGTCCAGAAACCATAAAAGTCGGTGTGTAGCTGCTGCATCTCAAATATCATTAACTCCATGGTTTCACGGTTAATTCTTTGCATGGAGACTCGAAATGGTCTTGGGCTGTCATCTTCATGTTCTTCTGCCCCTTGTTCTGCCATTTCTTGATCTGTATCGCCTTCTTCTTCATGCCCTTCTTGTTCCCCTTTCTTTATCCAAATGCCATTTCTAAACAAACAGTCCAGTTTTTTAAAAGAAGCTTTGGTAAGTGTAGTCCCACCAGGAACTGTTCCGAACCTAAAGGAAGTAAGATCAATATTGTTCCTCTTCGCCAATTTGGTAATTACAGCACCACGAGGAAGTCCCGTAGTTGGTGAGTAAGGCTTGATTATGCTCCAAAAAATGTATCTTCTTAGGTTCACCCTTTTTCCGTTAAAAAGATAGTCGAACCAGGGAAGATCACTGGCAAGAACATAAGATTTAGAACCCTTCCTCTAAGCAATAATGCGAGATATAATCCACTGCAATGCTCTATTTTCTGGTGTAAGAGACCCCACTTTAATTTGATTTTCAGTGCAATTGGGGGCAATTATGGCTCTAACTAAGGCATGATTCACATCTAGAAACTCATCATCTCCTCCTTCAGGTATATTTTATACAGCACAAATATCCCTTGGTGAAAACTAAAATGACACCCCAGCAACCATAATTTTACATTTATTCTCTCTTGGTTTCAGATTAGCATAAAACTGATGAACAACTTCATAGTACACAGGCTCTTTAATTTCTATATAATCCTTCCACCCAAGTTCCCTAAAAATTTGTTCAACACGCATATCTCATTGAGGAAATTGACTGAATTTTACACAATTGCAAGATAAAACAGCCGTATTCTTGATAATTTCATACTGTGCAGAGGCTTGGGTATCCAAAAAGAGATTTGATTGGGAGATGTTACCTTCTTCTTGAGGTTGACCACTGGTGCTAGAACTACCCATTTGTTTCCTTTTACTTCCAACCCTTCTTGAAGCCATGAGAGAGAAATCCCAACAGCCACACTAAAAATACAACAGATCCCACACAAATTGAAGTGAAAAGCTTGAGGTTTTGTGTTGGGTAGGCAAGGATTTGATGGTGTTTGAGTGTTTAAGGGATGGGTTTTGGAGATTTGGAGGGATTTTGGTGTTTGGGAGAGTGAATGGCGAGTTTTGGGAGGGGAAAATGGCAGATCTGGTTTGAAGAGAGAGAAGCCCGAATATTTAAAAGTTCTGTAGGAGAGCCAGCTATAATTACAGAGCCGGATGTAAAGCGAGTTCGGGTTGGGTCGCCTGCGGTTTGAGCCGGCTGGAGAACCTAGAGCCGGTTGTGGTTTAGAGAGAGAAGACTCTCGATTTTTTTTGGGTTGAGCCGATTGTGAACCTAGAGCCGGCTGTGCTGTAGAGAGAGAATACTCTCGGGTTTTTGGTTGAGCCAGCTGTGAAAAGGGATGAGCCGACTCTACTGGCCTTGATTGGGACAAACAGAAAGTTTAGGGCTATTTTGAAGGGAATGCACCTTAATTTGATATTTCTTCATTTAACTAAATTTAAATTAGACATCCACTACTAAATAATGCAACTTTAGTCATATATCAATGTCTGCATCATCAAATATCATGAATATAATCAAGGTACACATATCAAAGTAATCAATATGCACAATTTCTAATAAGCATATTCATTAATTTCAAGAATCATATCAAGCACTAGGATCTAACATACCAAGCTCATTTCTAATGAAGAAAAACCTATCACGATCAAGAGGCTTTGTAAAAATATCAGCTAATTAATTTTTAGTGTCCACAAATAATAAATCAACATCATCATTAGCAACATGATCCCTAATAAAATGGTGCCTAATTTCTATGTGCTTGGTGCGAGAATGTTGGATGGGATTTTTAGTGAGATTGATAGAACTAGTATTGTCACATTTAATAGGAATATGATCCATAGTAATGCCAAAATCCAAAATTTGTTGTTTCATCCACAACACTTGAGCGCAACAACTTGCGACGGCTATGTATTCGGCCTTGATTGTAGATAGAGCAACACTATTTTGCTTTTTGGAAGACCATGATATGAGCATATTACCAAAAAATTGACAAGTTCCACTTGTACTTTTTCTATCAATCCTACAACCCGTATAGTTCGCATCCGAATATGAATGTAAGTCTAAGGAAGAACCCTTAGGATACCATAAAACCAAGGTTGGGAGTATCCTTTAGGTACCTAAAGATTCTTTTAACCACAATTAAGTGTGACTCCTTAGAACAAGCTTGAAATCTAGCACACAAACAAACACTAAACATTATATCTGGTCTACTTGCGGTTAAATAAAGCAAAGAACCAATCATGCTTCTATAAAGTTTGGGATCAATAGGCTTACCTCCTTCATCCTTGTCTAGATTAATTAAAGTGCTCATAGGAGTAGCTATTGGCTTACAAGTCTCCATGCCAAACTTCTTAAGCATTTCCTTTGTATACTTGCTTTGGTTAATGCAGATGCCTTCTTTGGATTGTTTGATTTGAAGTCCCAAGAAGAAGTTGAGCTCACCCATCATGCTCATTTCAAATTCACCTTGCATAGCTTTGGAAAACTCTTGACAAAGAAAATCATCAGTAGCACCAAACACAATATCATCAACATAGATTTCGACAATTAGTATATCTTGGCCTTTGTTTTTCACAAACAAGGTGGTATCAACTCTTCCTCTAGAAAAACCATTTTCAAGCAAAAAACTACTTAGTCTTTCATACCAAGCTCGAGGAGCTTGTTTTAAGCCATACAAAGCCTTTGAAAGTTTATAAACATGGTTTGGAGAAGATGGATCTTCAAAACTGAGAGGTTGCTCAACATAAACCTCTTCTTGAATATAACCATTTAGAAAAGCACTTTTAACATCCATTTGATAAAGTGTAAAACCTTTAAAGCATGCAACAGCCAATAACATTCTAATTGCTTCAAGTCTAGCTACCGGGGCAAAAGTCTCATCAAAATCATTTCCTTCCTCTTGGCAATAGCCTTTAGCAACTAGTCTTGCCTTGTTTCTAACCACAATTCCATTCTCATCTAACTTATTTCTAAAAACCCATTTAGTTCCTATGATGGGATGGTCTTTAGGTCTAGAAACAAGATTCCAAACCTTATTTCTTTCAAATTGAGCTAATTCTTCTTGCATAGCCATCATCCAATTAGGATCATTTAAACTATCATCAAGATTATTTGGTTCAATTTGAGATATAAAGGCAATGAAAGCACAGGTATTATGAGCATGAGATTTAGTAATTACCCCTTTTGATGGATCCCCAAGAATTTCATTACCTTTGACATAGGATCTTTCTCTTGGGAAAGTTGGTTCTCTTAGCTCATGTGTTTGTTGCAGTTCTTCATGTTTGTCCTC